GGCCCATGAAGGTGCAACCCGCGAAACCCACGGGTCACACCTCATTGATTCGTGAACTGCCTGATCGGGTCACAGGTCGGCCCGCGGTCTCGGGCCGATCCAAGTCGATTTTCACGGGTCTGGTCAGCCCGTCCGTCTTGACACATCTACCTTTACTATGGTTCTGCTGTATAGGTGTTCTTCTGTTGGGATTTCGCATTTTTGCCTCTCTTCAATATAGAATCAAAGGCCTTTTAGGTTATTTCGAAGATGTGCAAATCTCTTTTCGTTCGATTGGAAGGAAGGTTCTTTGTATTATATGTTCGTTATCGCTTTATTTTCTTTGTTCTACTTCATTAATAAGTAGTTTGCTTTAATTTATATGTATAGTTAACCTTTTATGGAGTTCACATAAATCTGTGATTTCTGTCTTTTTATAGTGGAGTTTTTACTGTGTTATTCTTTTTTCATTGGATGAAGCTACACTTACATAAGGCTTCACAGAAGCCCCACATATCACACACAAGGGGAGGGGAGGGGGGGTTTGAACCAATTTTTCATCAGGTGGGTCCCACCTCATGTGAGAGTCAGTAAGAGATCTGTGAACCAAGTCTATGTACATTTGGCTTAATCCTTTTTCATTTGAAGTGTGACTGACTTAACGAAGATTCAAGTACATGGTTGGGTTTATGTCTTCTTTTTTTCCCCTTGTGTGCTTTAATTTTTGTTTCGTACTTTCTTTCGTTCTGTGTTATAAATGATGATCATTTTGAATTTATTTGTATATGCTTTGGACGAAAATATAATTATATTTCTATTATGATGCTAATATAGATATTGTTCAAGAATTTTTTTTAATTATTTTCTCTCTTTTTAGGTTGTATTCTTTTTCAACTATTTTTATAACGTTTCCTTCCTGAAATGGAGTTCTCGTGTTCCTTGAAATCCTTTTTGTTATCAATGAGTTCGGGGTTTGGAAGCTTCTGTTATTCTATATGTGCGTGCTGTTCAACTTCTTGCTCAGGCATTGATAGATATGTCAACGAGCTGAACCGAAAAAAAAAAAAAAGCTCGGGCTCGGCTCGAGCTTTTTTAGGCCGAGTTTTTTTTGGGCCCAACTGATATTTTAAAAGTTTATAGAATATTTTGT